AAACTCTCATTTATATAAAAAAATATAATTTTATTACAACCGAGCTCATTTCTCTCATTTTAAAGCCAATTAAGTACACCGAGCTCAAATATCTCTTTTTTCCGAGCTCATTTATTATTTTATCCTTAGGAATCACTACTTATTCCACATTAGTTATTCCCTTTGTCGGCGTTAGATTAATATTGTATTCTTCGCGCACTTGTTTATTTATGTCAAATGGCATATACAACTTATGAAAAAGTACAAATGACGGATGGTACGTTAAGTCTTTCTCTATGAGAGCAAAGAGTATGACTCTTTGTATTGTTTCAGATCAGAGCAATATTAATGTCGTAACAAATATAAATAATCCAACGACTTCGATTCGCCATTATTTTGTATTTTCATTAATCTCGTCAATCTTCTTGTGTCCGGCATCTGGTAAGTGCTTACCGATCGTTTTTAATTGTTTGTTTTAATTTTTTTCTTTGTTTAGGTATTATTGCATTGGCCTATAGTTTGAAATCATCAGCTAAAGCTGATGCCAAATGTTTAGATAAAGCACGTCTTTATTCACGTCGTGCTAAAATATGGAATTTAATTCCAGTAGCACTATATGTAGTCTCATGTATCATCTTCACCGTTTACTTCTCTTATTTGCTTCATGTGTGGACTACGTATATAGTTACACATACAAAGTTTATGGTGAGCAAGAATTTAAATAATCGTGATGACAATAGGAATAAGTTTTCGTTCAACAATTGACTAGTTGTTAAACAATAAAGTAATTATGAAAACTGAATCTCGCTTCTTCTTGTTTGTTTTTATCTTAAAAATTAATGCAATTGTTTATTGTTATACTCAACCAGTTAACTAACTCTATTTATTTTCATGTGTATAAGTACATATCATCGAATATGAGATATTTCATTTTAATAATTTAGAGCACCTTTTTCTCAATTAAATGCGAATTTCTTTTGAAAAATTTGCTCTGGTTTTCATCTGTATGAAGATGATTCAGACAAGTGAGCACTAGAAGACTCATTCTCTTCTCTATAAACATCAAAACTCACAAAATCTATCGCTCAATGACGAGCTTCTTTTCCATTCTTACTATAAGTGTCTATCTATGTATACAGCGTTTCATGCTTCCAAGATATCTCAGAAAAAACATTTCTCTATTTTTTTGAAACCAACCCGAAGCCTCTGGCTTGAAAAATGACTATGTCGTTGGATTTTTTCAGTTTAACTTTAGTTCAGGAGAAATTTAAAAAGTTTCTGAAAAGTTAGAGAAATTTTATTGACTTATCAGAAATCATTTAAATTTCTCCTGAACTAAAGTTAAATTGAAAAATTCCTTAAAGGTCCTTAAAACATTAGATGAATTTCTAATGTATCGAATGTTACCAAGTACTTGTCCAAATATAGCAAACACTTCTCAAGTATTTGTTTACTTGCAATTTTCGGCAAGTACTAGCACAGGTACTTATCAAGCAGTTTATTTGGAAAATACTTGCCAAGTTCTTATAATGCATGTCAAGTACTGGTCAAGTAAGTATGTTAACTTATCTCGAGTTAACTGATTATAACAAATGAATGAGTTGGAAATAGATACATTTAGAAAATAAATAAACATTCGCATCCAGTTCCTTTTAGACTTGCGATCGAGAGTGTAGCACAATATTCTTTGGTTGAGTCGGACAACTCCATGTACAAACTAATTGTAATATTTTACTGCTTTCAAACAATCAATTGTAATACGTTGACCATTTTTTAAACGACGGGAAACCGGAACAACTTCGTTGTCTTTATGATAATTTGAAGCCAAAAAAACGTGTTTGGTGTCCATCCATATGAAGACAATGCTGTGCAATGTAATCATTGACTCGCAATCTCCTCGTTCCATTTTATTTTTCTTGGAAAAATCCGACTGAATACGTGCCCGATCTGGTCTAATAGTTCCACAGGCTTTTATGTTCTGTAGCTTTAGCTTTTCTAACAATCTAAGAGAAGTGAAAAAGTTATCGAAATATAGATGTTTCCCTTGGAAATTGTGACCAGAGATAAGATCGAAAACAACACGTTCGCTCAGAGGTGTTTCTTTTCCACTGGTTTCCTCTTTTCCTAAATAGATTTGATAGTTGAATAAATAACTGGTGATTGAATCACATAAGCACCAAACTTTATAACCTCTCTTTATTGGTTTTAGGGGCAAATATTGCTTGAAACTTGATCTTTCCTTGAATTATATCATACTTTCGTCGATTGTGCCATAGCGGCCAAAGTTATAATTTTTCTGGAAATTCTATTTTTCGTAGAATTTCCGTAAAATTCTGAACTTTGTAAATTTTACTGTAGTTTTTAGAATCTCGTTTTGGTCGAATGAACTATCAGCCAAATGTAAGTTATAAAAAGTTTGAAGAAAACAATCTCTTGACATAATCGAAGAGATAAATGTATTATGGAATACCATATCCTTACTCCAATAAAGTTTTATATTCGGCAAGTCATTGATACCCGTTAGAATAATCAATCCGAGAAACGATTCAATCTCTTTTTTGCTCACATCCTTCCAGTTACTGGTTTTTGTCTGACTATTACTTCGTTTCTTTCCTTTTCCATAAATATTTGTTTGATTAGTAATCAAATTTAAAACTTCTTCAGTAAAAAAGGTTCTAAAGACTGCAACTGGAGTTGGCTCTTTGAGAGAGATTGAGGTAAAGCCGCCATCCGTGGTATGACTTTCATTCATTGAATTCAGCTCCTCTGTATACATATCCGAATCTTCATCAGAAACTTCAAGCTCATCTAAGTTATCGACTGGGTCATCATAATCGAAATCGAAGTCACTCTCGCTGGTGTCATCACTGGCATATGAATCACAGGACTCGCCGTCGACTTCATTATTTCTATAGAATTCCATTTCATGAGTTTGAATTATAAAAATGGTATAAAGAAATAAATAGTACAAGTTCGAAAGAGAAATGATGTGCTTTCCAAATTCAAGAGCAACGTAAATTCATCAATGAGAACGGGTGTGTATATATATATATATATACCCAATAGAGAATGAAAATATTCTCGAAAAACAAAAGATCGGAGGAGAAGAGAGAAATTATGACGTCACTGTCCCTTATCAGCAAGAACAATGGATATCTAAAAAGAATTTATATGAGAGAAGGAAAGAAAGAAAAGAAAAGTATAAGATGACAAATGTAGTTATTTATGACCTTACCTATTTAATCGTTTAATGTCAACTAAATACTTTTTCTCTACTGATAAACAGATGGGTCAAAAACGATCCATCCGTCCTCAAAGGGGTAACACGTGTTTTTGCTAGAGCCCTAGCTTATATTTGTCATCATCTTTTCAAAGTTTGCGTGCATCTTCTTTTGTCCTTCACGCCATTCTCGGAGCCTCAGAGGCGATACCAAAATTTGACGTCGAAATATATAACACTAAAAATAGCATCATCTTGTTTTTTCTCATAATAATTAAAAATTGGAATGCGTTGCCATTGCATTCATTCAGCACGCACAGGTAACAAGATTTTGTTTAAAACATTGCTAAAAGAACGTGCATTTTTATTAGTATTTCTTTACCTTCGTAGTGGTAGTTATTTGGTTTTCTCATGTTATATTCTGTGTACGCAGTGTCTCGTAATTCCTTTCCTTTTTGGTGGTGAACACAAGGGAGAAATGTCGCTGTACCTTATCCTAATCTACCAAAAGATTGTTCGCCTCCGCATATGCTGTCTTAGATAGTATCTCTAAATACCGATAAAACATTGTTTGCGTGTTTCTGGTACAAATTCCGGCCTCTAATAATATTTTGTTCTTTTTTTATTTTTGTTTTGAAAATAATTTTGTAGTTTCAATTACTAATAAAATTCGATAAAATTTTCGTGGAAATCAGTGTAACGTATAGTCCATTACAATCTGTTTTATCGAACAAAGATTAAATTAGTTCAATAATGCTCGATATTCTTAGATTGTATAATTTATGTTTTACAAATATAAGTGAAAGCTTGAAAAAAGGATATGTATTGTCGATTTGGCAAATAAAGATGAGATACCGATTAAGCGTGAAGATGTTGAAGTCGTGCACTCGCGCTGTTGTCAAGTCTAATAATAATTCGAATAGTCAACAGTGAAATTCAAAACGTCTTCGTAATGTAATTGTTGGTTTTTTCTCTCGTAATGTCCGATACGAGAGAGATGTGCGAGAGTTCCGAGCCCTCGTCGCTCGAAAGTGCGATGTTCGGGATTTTGACGAAGAAAATTGAGAAGTACGGACAGGCTTCTGACTTTTTCGCTTCTGCTTCAGAACAAATGAAATATCTCAATGATGGAAAACTTAAAAAAAAGCTCTTCTTTTTTTTGTTGCTTGCAGTGTGGCGAACCGGATGACATACAATGGAGGCTTAATAACTTATTCACAAAAACTAGATCAGTTGACGATATGGCATGTAGTCTTTTTCAACGTTCCACTTCGGGCCAAACTTTTTTTATCATGTTTTATTTGAACAATTCCAAATACAGTTTGCTAGATTCAGTTTCATGGAAGAATAAGAAAAATTAGTTTGGAGGACTAAACATATCGAAAAACCAAAAATTTAGCATACTTTTAACAATATACCTGTTTTACCCAAAGATGGAGTATTCCACCACCATTTGGAATTTTTTCTACCGAGAATATTTTTTGAAAAGTTAAAACTACCTTTTATAGACACTTTGGTGTCCTCTATTCAACCATGTACATAAAAAGAAAAAAAATTTGCGCTATGGTTTTAGATTTTTTGCATCTTACAAAAAAACGTTGTTTTTTGCATACTCATGCAGAATGAGGAACACGATCATAAGAACAAATAGATAACATACTGACAGAAAAGAACACAACAAAATAGAAAATAGAGATGCAACACAAGGAGAATGACAAGGGACAGTAACGGTCAGTTATGATTACCGAGGGTACTTCCATTCAGACACAAATAGACAAAAGTGTTTCCTATGTCAACAGTTTTATGTTAAAACATAATCATATTGAAGCACATATAACTGCTGATTTAAAAAATGCTGCATAATGCTATAACTCATGCTGAGACCTTATTTATTATTCATTTTAGGCCACAAATGAAGAATCAACCAAATCACACTTTCAATAGTCGTTTTGTTGATTCTCATTGTATTTCGATTCATTCTCACCCAATTAAAAATAAAATATTACGTGCAGAGAAAGATTTTGAACCAGGAGATCTTATATTTCAAGAGACTGCCGTTACCGCAATTAAATTAAGTAATAACAACAAGAATGATGAATCTATTATTTTCTCAACAATAATTGAATCATTACCTATTGTTCCTCTTGCACGTAATTTAATCTATGGTGCTGTCCACTTAGCTTCATTATCTTCATCCAAATTAGATTTAATTAAATGTCAATTTGGTAATCCATTGGATAAATATTTGAATTTTACACCTGAAGGTCAAGCTATTGCAGCTCTCAAATATTATTTTTTCGAGATTAAGAAAGAATTAAGCATATCTGATTTATTTTCTTGTTCTGCTATACTTGATTTATTAGCGATTTGGATGACGAATTATAGTACAGCAGGGCCACAGTGTCACGCTCTTTATTATTATTGGTCACGTATGAATCATGATTGTAAACCTAATACACATCATCGTACGACAGGTTATACTACAGTTGATAATCAAACAATACCGATTCGTACAGTTCAAGCAATACAAAAAATTAATAAAGGAGATGAATTAACAAAATCATATTTAGTTGGAGAAACAAATTTTCAACCAACACAAATGAGAAAAGATTACTTATCAATGCATTATCACTTTACATGTACTTGTAGTCGCTGTTCTACAGAAAATGAAATAATTTCTGATACTTTAATGTATCAATATAAAACATTGGAATATCAAATTTACAATAAACAAATCTCATTGAATGATTTACTTATATTCAAATCAAAATTATCATGGACTGATTGGTTAAATTATTCAATTTCTCAACTTATTTGTACTATAGCTGCTAGTTCTTCAATGGGTTGCGATAATACTCGTTACCATACGGCGATTATTGAATGTGCACTACAATGTATTAGAAGGTTAAAAAAGATATATTTACAATCTTTTGATGCGCCAACTAACGAATATTATTCTATTTTTCTCGCTGATAAATATGAACAGTTAGGTGATTTTCTCCCCTTAAGTGATTCGCAGAAAATTAACAGTTATAAAGAAGCTATCAAAATTCGAAAAATTTGCCAAGGTAAATCAGAGAAAATAGATAATTTGAATGACAAAATTATTCAAGCAAAGAAAGTTACTTCGAACAATCAAATATCATTATGATTATCTCTATTACAAGATGTATTATTCAAGTGGCACTCAATTGATAGAAGAGAATATCGAAGAAAAGCAAAACATTCACGTATTTGTTATGTCATGAAGACATGAGAAGATCGTATGTTTAGAAATGTGGTTATTATTTGTCCTTCCTCACATCATATGTGTCTCATGTTCTTTTTATTCTTCTTACGTCATGCTATGTCCTGCACTACTGACGTCATTGCTCTTCCCGTTGGTTTCTCGTATGTTCAACTGTATGTAACTTTTTATAAGGCGCCCGTAATTCAAAACTTCCACACTATTTTTTTCTCAACAATTTACACATAGTTAGATAGAACTTGTCGAGCTGATTCTGAATATATGTGTTTTAGCCTTTGGAATTACTTCTGGAGAGAAATCTTTGAAAATTTAGAAACTGCAAAATTGTCTGTGGTCCAAACACCGGTATATTTACGATAGAATTGATTTTTGAACTCCCACTGTGTTTTGTAACTTTGTAATTTTCTTTCTTTCTTAGCATGAAAAACTGAATAAGAAAACACTATTTCGACGTTGTTCGCATATAATGTAAGCTTAAAAATTATCAATCTACTGGTTGGTCCGAAATCGTTTGTGTCCCGATTATAAACCTATCCAGGTCTAAGAACGGCACTGTTAACTGATCGTTTTCAGAACCTAAAACTTGTAACGTTTTACGGTCTTAAATTGATCGTTTTCTCACCGTCTACGAATCGTTTTGTAAACGTTTTCTTACCATTTACTGGCCATTGTTCTGTCGTTTTGAGAACGCTAATGGCACTGTTTTTTTGACGTCGGCTATTATTAAAAGAAATTAAAAAATTTTTCTCTAACTTATCTACCCTTTCGCACTAATCGACTTAAGCTAGGCACTACACTATACACATCGTATCATAACGCTATAATTGTTTTTGCTTACTGAAAATATCGAGATTCGAACATCAGAACTTGTGTTACCCAAGTGACAGACGGCTAAGTTGGCAGTCTGTCACTGTAACTACATGACCATGTCGGATCCAAAACTAACATTATCAAAGTTCTATTCAAGCTTGCAAGCCTACGTACTACTTTACGTCCAGTTTATTTCACTGCATCTACATAGTGTGAAATACTGGAGGAAAAAGGAAAAACACACACATTAGATTATATAAACCGTTAACAGCCAATTAACGGCCCGTTTTTGGATAGTTTTTCCGTACTTTAACCTAGAGTGATTTTAAAATGATTTTTGAATGTTTCATGACGCATACATATTAGATGCTTGAAATCGTAAACAGGCTGTTAACTGACCGTTCTTAGGCCGTTTTTTAGTTAACGGCCTGTTTACGGTTTAAAGCATCTAATATGTATGCGCGATATCAACATTCAAAAATCATTTTAAAATCCCTCTACCTTAAAGTACTGGAAAACGGTCGAAAAATATTAACTGCCCGTTAATGGCGAATTTCTTTGTGAACTCGAATGATCAAAAACGCAGGCACGGATTCTTTTCCATTTATGATATAATTAGTTTTTTTAAACAGGTAGCAAAAAACAAGGAGATTCACTTGTATTTTACTGTTTCCACCGTCAAACTTCTATTTTTTTGCGAAATTAATCTCATATTTGGAGTCAGCATCAAAAACTGATTGATGCATGTTTCTGGATTTTCGGCTAACTTTGATTTTTCTAAAATGTTTTGTCGATGCAGAAACGATGTTTTAGAAAACATTAACGCGTAAAAGACATATTTTTGGACCTTTCGATGCGATCCAATGGTGTTATTTTAATTCATAAACGCGCTTTTAATCTCGGAAGACAATGTTAAAAGCGTTAGTTAATCCCGAAGCGCGTTACTAACGGAATTTTACTGTGTCACTACGGAAAGAATTTTTTCTATTCCTTTCTATATTTGTCTGTATAATTATGCGTATAAAAGAGAAAAAAATCAAGCAGAAAGAAAAATAACATTACACGCAGAACGAATAAATTGCGGCATGTGAAGTTGAATGATGAACTGTCATTTTGATATGCTTTTTATTACATTATTTTTCCCTAATCGATCTCTTATAAGAAAGTTTGAACAAGATGAGCCTATCTTCCGGAAAATGATTTTCACTTCACTATGTTTTTTTAGCCATTTCTACACACATTATCGCTGACTATCATGAGCCGGAAAGTCATGAGAGTCAGATAGTTACGGAATATTAAAATGTATTGTTACTTTTCGTTATCATGCCATACGTTTTTCGCAATAGAGTACGCGAAATGTTATATCACAAGATTTATTGACAAAGACCACAGATTATGTATGCAAACAACACTTAAACTACAGTTAAATGATATAAATTATTAGTATTCTCTATGTGTTGTTGCATTTCTAAAGATAAACTTTTGAGAATAAAACAAATATGTGTTTTAATCTTTTTCTGTGTGTCAACAAACATTATGATATTATTTCATTAAAATTGAGTTGTTTCATGTATTGTGCAACCAATATCATAATAACGAAAACTCTTGTTACAAAATATTCATATAAGCCTTCGATCACTTTACGAACGACTTTTTCGTGAACTCTAACGTCTATCTGAAATAAAAGCCCATGGAATTGGTAGTGCAAGCGACATTTACCATTCTTGACCAAAGTCGGACCGTTGTGTTATGTGTTTTTCTCCAAAAGTATCCCTACTGAAGAGCTAATATTTCCAGTAAATATTCTGCTAGTTTGTACTATTAAGCTGATATGAACAAGAGAACTTGAAACTGTGTCAATGAGCGCGCGATACTGTGTGGTCGAACTTTGGCACAGCTATTAAACAGAAAAGATATTTTAACAGTTATTAATTTAAGACTTTGGTTAAGTTTCATTTTGATTTGCCGCTGATCTGAATATCTACTTTATGAAAAAACTTTAAGAAAGACACTTTCAAAGTAGAAAAGCCGCACTATAATATACTAAAACTCTTTTTAATATAGCCGTAGTAAAACTTTTCTCGTAATAAAGCTTTATCTATATTTGTTGCCGTTTATCTGAACCAAATAGACAGTCTCATTTTTTACTCTGTCTTATTGCTAATGGTATCAGATCAAAGTGGTCGTGATTGAGATGTTCACTAAGCAAAGTTTTAACTACAGATTTAACTTTTGAAAATGCTAGCTCAATTGGATCTAATATATGAGTATATCAAGATAGAAATTTCAAACATGCTTATTATCTCAACTATTCTTCTGATTTCTATACTTTTATGCATTTTTGCATCATCCATTGCTATCCAGCAGTTGATCAAATTCAATTCATTTAGTTTAAAACATAATTCATTAAACAATGCGTTAAAATGTAAACGGACTTACAGGATGCAGCTGTACATTTTTCTATAAATATTAGTTAATTATGAATTTTTTAATGTTGGACTTTGATCAAAATTTTCGGTCTGGCGGCTAATTTTCGATATTCCAGAAATCATTCAGTAATAATGACAAAAATTTGGTTCAGGTATGTTTAGATGCACAATTATGTATAAGGGAGAAAAAAAGCTCTGGTTAATAGACTTTTTTAAAATATTTTCTCTAAAATTGATGCCAGTTCACCGTAGTCTGGTCGTTTGTATTCTATTTTTCTTCAACCTCTTTTGCTTAAATAAAACGAATAGAATACCACTTGAATCAGCTACTTAAGCGCTACAAGGTCCTATATTTTGTTTTTTAATTTGTCATGGATATGGGGGTTTTTCGAGATTTTTCTATATACGGGTGTTTTATATGAAAAAATATGAATTTTAATTTATTGTCTGTAAAAACAAGGATGCCGGTGCCTATTTCTTTAAGGACTTTTGAACAATGCACTTCGAAGACTTGCGGTTTTCATCATTGCACAGAGGAGACAATTAGCTACAAACTGACATAAATATATCTCAGAAAATACCATCTGAAGTTGATATACCTTATAGCCTCTGAAAGCGTAAGTCGTGGCTCCAAGATCTACTGGAGTAATCTCTGTGGTTCTCATATCGATATTGTAGCCTAAAATGTCCTCTATAAAATGGGAACCAAACGACCTCTTAATCTTTTGTGATTGAGGTGCAGCATCGAAGTTCCTCGAAGCCACAAGATCGATATTTCCTTGCATGTAGTAATCTCGAAAGCGAATGGCAACATGGTTGTCCTTCAAGCTGAGTCTGATGACAATGTTTTTTTTTCGGAAAAATTCAAAAACCTATATTAGATGAGGTGGCTCTTATATGGAGATTCGACTTTTTTCATTACCTCGTACACAAACTTATGCAAGCATTTTTAAAAAAACGAAGCATTTTGAAGAAATATTTTCGCTCATAAAGTTATTCAGGATAATCCTCTTTATCTGCTAAGTGGAGCACTTTTTTCATTTTAGTGGAAAAATTTTGAAATAAATGCAATTTACGTAAATTTTAAGTAAATTTAAACCTCAAGGTTTTTTTTATTTTCGCTTGAAATGAACCTCTGTAATCTGGGCACCTCCCTGTTCTGTGAGTGAGATGCTCTTTTTCGGTATTGTAAGCTTACTGTATATTCAAAATTCAAGAATAACTTTTATTTATTAATAAAGAAGAATATAAATTCCATCATTGCTGTCTTTCACTACCGATATCAACGTGTTAATGGTTCATGCAAGCAAAACACCTACGCATAAATTCATGATCGTTCCCATATTAGTTATTGTTGTTAATTTATCAGCTATTTTTTCAAGTACTTCATTTTGTTGCTTTACGGTTGATTGTAACGATTCTTGTTGTTGCTTCATTGCTGATTGTAACATCGTTTAATGAATACTGTATTAATAATTTCAAAAATTTCACTGAAAGACGAAACCGGAAACTTTGAAAAGTTGCTTATATTATAGGGGTAGAGTTCATTCTATCGAGCGAGACGCTAGGGCTTTCGGTGCAATGTACTGTACAAGTGATACAACGTCTATACCCAGATCGACGCTTACAACCGTCGTAAACTAGAATTTACGATGTCAGATACTACAGTTTACGATGATATATACTTATTAGTAATTAGTATAGTAATAGTATACGTCAAAATACGCCACCGTTTACGATGAAACACGACGAAGTTTCATCGTAAACGATGGGGAGAACTATTACGATTCATCGTACTTCCGGGGAGAAGTATTACGACGTCGTATTTCGAATGACTGGATACGATCGCGTACGTCAAAATACGACGTCGTAAAACATCATATACCACCGTTTTTCGTCGTAAAACGTCGTATACTGATAATTTTCAGCCGGCTTTTGAATTTCGTTCGCTTTTTCGCCTTTCCTTCAGTTCTTTTGCTTTTGATTATTATATTGAAAAAAGGCCCGCACTACCAGTGCGCACGGCATGCTCTGTTGCACTAGTACGCACTAGTTCCACATTTTTCCAATCACCGTTTTGTTATCTACGATTGATTACACTGTGTTTTGCTCGAACTTTTCTTTGAGAGCATAATGCAATCAAATTTAATTTATCTATAGATGGAAACTTGTGTATCGGTTGATGATTTCATATGTACCTACAGAACTAGATATTTTCTCTATTTCTAGAATTGAGATCGTTTTTTCTAATTAAAAGTTTCCGGTTAGTAAAATTGTGTGTAGCCCTTTGTGGCACATCTAAATCGTATGTTTCTACTTTAATTTTCTTATAAGATCTCTGTGATTATCAACAAATTTCAAGAGAGGCGCCATAAAAACGAATCGTTTGTAAAGTGTATTTCAGTATTGTTATTCTGATCAGTTGAAAAAGAAAAATCATTTTTGATCTGAGGGCGCCATTTAAACTGCAACAGAGCCCTCGAATGATCTATTCCAAAAATTTCTTTTCTTATCAGTTTGTAGAGCCATACACAATCATTTCATCTGGAAAATAAAACTTCATTTTTATTAGTGAATTGATCTCAACTAAATATTTTGCCTACATTCTTTTTCCTTAAATCAAAACTTAAAAATGAGTATTTTTGAGACAGGATTTGCTGATTTTTTAAACATAATATCAGATTTGTAAGTAAAACGTCACACGAAAAAATAACATTTTATTGAACGTGAGAGGTGAGTCAATACTAACAAGTAACGCTCATCTTCGATTCACTAACCCTTGACTAAAAGATCCTGGTGCTAACGAACCCGACATGTACGGTGCGCGAAATTCCCATCTTACAGAAAATGATTTTTGTTGTATCGAGAAATGACCAAGGATAATTTATTCAGAAAATTAGATCATGATCCCACAATACAAAAAGAAGATAAATTAACACGTTACTTATTAAAGCTACATAAAGAAGGATTAATTAGTGAATCTGATTACAAAGCAGCAAGACCATGTGGTTCACGTCCAGCTCGACTATACGGCTTACCGAAAACACACAAGCCAAATCTACCATTGAGACCCATCATGTCCTCCATCAAAACCTTCAATTATAAGCTATCCAAATGGCTAGCTGAACTTCTACAACCTCTTCGTAAAAGTTCTTATACCATTAAAGACACGTTTGATTTTATCAAATTAACAAAAACATTTAATACACAATATTCAGAAAAACAAATGGTATCATTCGACATACAAAATCTTTATACGCAAATACCAATAGCACAAACAATACAAATTATTCTCAGCAAAATGTATCCACATATAACACAAAACCACCAATGTCAAAAACAAGTGCACAGTACTAAACATTTTTGCCCTAACTGTCTGAATCGGGAAACACTAAAAACATTATTAGAGATGGCTACAACACAGTCACATTTTCTGTTCAATAATCAATTATACGAACAAATAGACGGCCTTTTTATGGGCTCACCACTGGCTGCTATAATGGCTGATAT